CAGCAATAGTAACCTATATCAAGGCAACTTAAAATACATCACAGCCAAATCTCACTGAGAGCAAAGAATTCCCTCTATTGACACTTATTAATTTATGAGGTACTTATTGTCTGAGGCATGCACAGCAAATGGCAGTACCACAAAGTGGTAAACTAAGTGGTAAGTAAGCTAATATGCTAATCTCAGTAACTTCCAGGAACATGAAACCTGGAAATAGGCTATATTAACAAAGTACCAGTACCAAGAGCAACAAAATCAAGGAGTTGCAACCATAGGAAGACACAACGAGGTAAGTAAGCTCTTATCCTCTTCCTTTCTAGGAGACAAAGGCCAATCCATCTGAGTTTTGATATTGATGCATTTGACCCTACACTGGCACCAGCCACAGGAACACCTGTTGTAGGGGGACTGACCTATCGAGAAGGCATGTATATTACTGAGGAAATACACAATACAGGTATGTAGCAACCAGGTCTGCAGCCTGTTAACTATGTAAGTAAATATGCTGAACTCTCTTATCTGCAGGGTATTTTTCCTACTATTCCATGCCATTGCAGACTTTGTTTTTGCTTAAACTTTTATGGCTAAAAATCATATGGCCAGGCTAGTAAAGGATAAAGTCACTTTAAGGCATGTTTAGACCTGGCTGGTACAAAAATATGCTAAGGTAATATTCAATAAAAAATTGTGTCTACTTAAACACATTTTCCCCCCTACTCTACTTCCTCCTCTCCTATTTATAAGTATTTAAATGTAAATAATAACAGTAATAAAAAATTAAATTATTTACAAGAATAAATTACCAAACTGATACAGTTCCTTATGTCTGTGTTATCTAAAGACAGATTAAGATAAGAAGGCAAAGCCAGGTAGTTATAATTTTTACTCTAATGTTAAGAGCTTAGTTCACTGGGAGTTGGGAATTTGGAGTTAAAGCTTTTTTCCTGAAAATATTTGCAAGTTGGACAATATCGTGGGTCCTTTTATATAGGAGAAATACTACAGCTTACTTGATAGGAGCTAGATGAATGGCTGATAGAGTAGTTAGATGAAATCTAGATTATCAAGAGTGGCTGCAAGGGTTTACTGTCCCAAAACTCAGACTTGTTTGCAAAGTTTCCATTTGTCAGAATTTTCTGGTTTTAAGGCTATTTTAAATGACTTTTCATTCCAAAATTTAAACTACCACATGATGCTGCTTCAGTAACTGGGGTGTAGAAAGCAGCATAGAGACCCTAGATTGAAAAGTCCAGGGCTATCGGGAACCCTTGACTAGTTGGTATAGAAGTGGACATTGAGAAATGGTCTGGGCCTTAGGCAGTAAATGGAGGAAGACAGTGCTTGTCTATGAGATCTGACAGTGGCAAGACAGTCTCCTTCTCACATCCACGATCTTAGATGTTGCCAGTAGCCCTTGTGTTAGTGGCCAGAGAACCTGGGAGTTCAATACTCCACTTTGCTTCCCAGAAACACCACTTAGAGCAGGGGTTAATAACCTCTAGCACTTAGATGTGGCAGTGGTCATGCCTTGTCCCTCCCTTCCCCTGCTGCAATATTATTTTATTCCAAGACTGTTACGACACTTAACTCTATATATAGTTTGCTTAAACTAATTGACAGGGTGGCAGTTGTCTGGCAACATAGGCTATATATATATATATATTTTTTTTTTTTTTTTTTTTTAATAGCACAAACTCTTGATTACTTCTACTGGGATATGCTAACAGTACAGGGTTATTCAGTGGATATCAGACACAAATCATCAGGGACACAGGTACATGTGCAGGACATGATGGAAATGCTACAGTAACATGCCTGTTCATTGCAGTTTTGCACAGTGTACTCAACCATGCATTGCTAATAAGGGAAGATACATTGAATATAATGGCATTTCACCTATAATGTAATACCAATAAACCATTAGGTGCATCTACTACCCATGTTTCCAGACTTTATGGCTCCCCTGAATATTCTCAGATACTTGTATGCTTGAATACTAGTTTGTTCAGATGACTCCTGATGAGGTAGACTAACTTCACCCAGAATAACCAATTAAAAAGTTAAATTCTCTAGAGAAGGGGGGGATGGGAGTGGAGGGCAGGTCTGGATAGGTTCTTCTGGTCTCATCTTCCCTTCCCCTCAGCCTGCCCTAGGCCAAAGGAACAGTGCTGAGTACTTTGGCACAAGTTCTCAAATCCTCAGAGGAGGTAACTGGAGTCCAAATTAAACAATCAATGTATAGCTGAATCTTCTCTTGACCAATTACAAGATACTGGGTCCATCTGATGGGAGACCAAAAAAGTGTCAGACGTAGAACCTGCCCTCAGCTCAGGCCCATAGGAGCAAGATTAAGGTTTTCAGTAATAACTATATTTCAGAGCATGCAGTTTGATGCTTTAAGAGATATATAGTGTTAAGAGTTCAATAGTGGGAATAGAGCTCTGGCTAGTGAGAAATGGGAGATTTCCTCTGCCTTAGTTCTTCACTCATTTCTAAGCAGGCATACAGAAGGGTCCTAGTTATACAGGAGATGGCACACACATTTTCCTAACAAGCAGGCTGGACAGTCTTTCCAAAGTTCTTTCCTTATCCAGAAGCCTAACAGCTATGCCTATTTAGTTGAACAAGGACGATTTATTTCATTACATGAAAGGTTTCTTTTAATCCAACTCTAGTATACTTAAATTTATGGCTGAGAGAATGAATTTTGAAGTAGAAAATGACTCCTGTTTTTACCTTGGCTTGTTCTTCTTGTCCTGTTTCTCCCTGTTTAGGGTGGGACAACCCTCATTAAAAGTAGCAGCTAGGGAATTTTCTGAGGTTTTATCATACTTTGTTATTCCAGGGTTGCTGTCGGCACTGGATCTTGTTGAAGTCAATCCTCAGGCCACTTCAGAAGAAGAGGCAAAGGCTACGGCTAGCCTGGCAGTGGATGTGATTGCTTCAAGTTTTGGTCAGACAAGGGAAGGAGGGCACATTGTCTATGACCAGCTTCCTACTCCCAGATGTCCAGATGAATCAGAAAATGAAGAACGTGTGAGAATGTAGGGAATAGTATCCACTGACATGTTTTATGATGGGCATTCCACAACTGTGAGGCATTTGAGGGGATAGATGTTAAATGATTATCTGGGTCAGTATTGCCTGAATGAGAACATGTGCACCTTCTCACAACTGTAAAGTTTCCCTACCCGTTTTGGTGATCAATAATATTACTGTATTTGTTTTTTGCAATTCACGGGGTATTAATATGTTGTAGTACTATGTAAATATAAGGTCATAAACAGCATTTATTACCTTGGTATATCATACTGGTTGCTGTTCCTTCACATTTAAGTGGCTTTGCATCCTCCCTCCCTCCTCCCAGTCTGGCTACACAGTGCATCCTTGAACTGCTGGCCCACAGCAGCAACATGTTTATTTCACATCCCTAAGGCCATTCATTCACAGGGTCAAAGTTCTGGTCCACACACCCTTCCCTCTATAGGAAGTTCAATGCTTGCGAATGAATTTGTAATAAACCAGGCCTCCCAGGATGGCTAGTTCCAGTAAGATGATGATGGAAAGCAGCAGCTTGTTGGTTGTCACTCTACAAAGAGAAGCAAAGTGGGAAGTAGTCAGAAGTCTGGATAACCTTTTTTCTTTCTATTCTTAACACTTGGAGCCAAGGCTGGATACTGTGAAGCAGATTTTCTGTTTGCTCACACAGCCACTTAACAGTAAGAACTCATAAAGTTCTTTAGTTATAACTTAGGGATAACACTGTTTAGGAAGACTCTACTCCTCCTGCTAGTTCCATGACTGGGTTGTAGTCTTGTTTCATGCCAGACCACCTGTACCCAAGGTCATGCACATTACCCACTTACCCCCAACGGCAATATTTCCATTCTGTCCTGGTTCTGTTGCTGTTTGTTGGCACTTACCTCAAGGGTTTTTTTGTTTTTTTTCTTAAAGTCTATTTCTTGCTAACAAGACAACCCCCCAGAAAAGGGGCTGATTTCCATGAAGGGCAAGCACTAAGTAGTAACAGTGAAAACTTTTTTTGGTGGCCGGTCGGTACAGGGATCCAAACCCTTGACTTTGGTATTATAACATACTCTAGCCAACTGGCCAGCCCTAAAAACTGTTTGCTAATCAAGTTTTTATCAATATTATTACAAGGAATATGAAGCTCTATTATTCCCACATTATACTTTTAACAAAGGACTTTTGGGCTGGCCCATGGCTCACTCGGGAGAGTGCGGTGCTGATAACACCAAGGCCACAGGTTCAGATCCTATATAGGGATGGTTGGTTTGCTCACTGACAGCGTGGTGCTGACAACACCAAGCCAAGGGTTAAGATAACTTTACTGGTCATCTTTTAAAAAAATAAACAAAACAAAACAAAGGACTTTATCCTGGGATATTTAAGACCATATTACTTTATTTCTTTTGATGTGCTGGGTGATATTAATATAGCAGGACTATGTAGCATCAAGTATTGAGGTGTTTTATTAGGATCTTTGTAAGTCACTTTTAAGCTTTCCTGGTTGAAACATTAAGACTTAGGAGATATTAATTTGACTATTTTAAAAACTTACTTTCTGGACATTGAACGGAGAATCTTTCGACTTTTGCTCAAGTTTTCACTTGTGTTTACCAGCTGAGGAGAGAAAATAGCAATTATTTCCTCCTTTTCTCAAAAGTAGACACTATAGAATTTGAACATTCCTAAACTATCTAGGTTTTAAGGGTCTATGTTGAAAAACTCCATGAAATCAAACCCATTTAAATGAAGGCCTCTGCATATGAGTAGTACTCCTCAAGTAGGCTTAGGAATCATTATATCCCAGTGTTGCTGTGGCGGACAGACTTCCGGGACTTCAAATCCTTCACCTTGGCTACTCAAAACAGGAAGGCTTCATCTGTACCCAGCCAGTGACAGGTGAAGATGAAACAACTTTGAGCAACTTAAGATAAATTTCATCAGCCAAATTCAAGGAGAGGCTCTTGAGTTGGTGTTTGTTTTTGTAGGCTGTTGGGTTATCCTTTTCGGGATCTGGTTATTTTTTCCTCTCTTACACTGAGTTGCGAAAAGAATAAACCCCCATTGACCTTTCCATTTTGACTGCCTGTTACTAATCTAGATAGCTAGAAGATATTTCAACAGTGCCACCTGCCATCTATTCCCATTTCCCAGCGACTTTGGTAAATTAATCTCTCAGATCATTCCTTGGCTTTTAAATTCAACGAATCCACCTGGTACATTCAAAAATCACACAGTATGTAAGCAAGTTGCATTCTCCGTAACTTGCCTTGAATTTAGTACTTTGTGAGTTCTCACTGAAGGAAGGGCATCACTCTGTTTTAAGAATGGAGAATTGCAGCTATTAAGATGTATAAGAAAATCTCAAATCCCCACATTGAGCTAGTTACTTTCCTACCCAAATCTACTATCTGTTTTTTGGTTTGGATTTGCCTCACACTATTAAGAATACAGTATTCCATTGGCAAATTGTACTATTTTTTAAATTCCTATGTAGATTAATTTATGGAAAGAAATGTTATTTTTCAGAGCCTCTTAGAGTGATACTAGATAAGTCCCCGATATACAGTTATCATTTGGCCTAAGTATCTCTGTTTTTCCCCTACAATAATCCAACTTACCTTAGGTAACAGTAAAGGGTTATAGTCCAGTATTGAACTATAATTTATATACCTATATAAATCAGTGCAACTATTTTATGACATGTGGAATATAGTCCTGGCTTTAAATGACAGGGTCTTATCAGTAGACAATGTTTTCATAAGAATAGCAGAATACCTCGCTAGATGTATGAGAAATTAAAATCTTTGGTGACTTTGAATTTTTAAGTGCCTTTTGACATATCACCTCTCATTAGCAACAGAATAATACAGGAATTAATAAGGATGGAGAGGCTGCAATCTTATAGATGCAGAAATCAGGTTCCTTCACAGTCTTTTTTCCTTTATGAAAACAAAAATTTCCAGTGATGCCTTTAAATCTTAGGGGTAAAATTACTTCTAGGGCAGCTCTCCTCTCAGCCAAGCAAACTAAAAATTGAGAAAAGCATAAGAACCTCAAAAAGATTATTCCTTGAATTCAGAACTGCTGTAAGCTTCTGGCTTTAGTATGGCATCTGGGTGTAGTGGGCCCATCTACCTTCCCCATCTGCCCAGACTTACTCTACTCTTGGTACGTTCCAACTGGTCTCGCTGCTCTCCCAGCTCTTCTATGATTTCTGAGCCAATCTGGTCAGTCTCTGTGGCAATCCGATGAGAACGCTCAATACTTTGGGTGGCCCGGTTCAGGCTTTCAGTGCCTTGCAAAAGCAATGCCCTTTGAGACTGTAGCCGATTCTGTCAGTATGGAAGGGAAATATTAGACTTTGTCCATTATATATTCATTGTCAGCACATTATTTACAACCTTACTTGTGTAAGAAGGGATATAGTGAGCAATAATTTTCATTACTTTTAAGACAGAACCAAAGATGCTAATGAGCTACAAGATTCTGTTCAAGGTCATAGACTAGAGCATAACCTGAATCCAATCAACAGGATCACAATACCTCCCACTCCACTGCTTGCGACACTTAAGTGGGGCAAGGAAAGGATTAAAAACATTGGAGCATTTTCCCTGTGTTTGCGATGATTTGCACCGGTCCACATGCCTCCTGAACTAGCAACTTCTGAGAGGCAGCAGCTCAGATCTGGGAGGTGCAGAAGCTACCTGATAATGCATATATCCTGGAACTTTTTTTTGGTGGCTGGTAAGTCAGGGGACCCAAACCCTTGACCTTGGTATTACAACACTGTGCTGACTGAGCTAACCGGCCAGCCTGCATGTAACTTTGGTAGTGCTACAGGCAAACCAACTAAATTCTGCAGCCCTAGAAAACAGATTAATTTATTAAAGATTCCAACCTGCCTAGCACTGAGGAACCATAAATAAGCTATTCTTTTTCAGCATATAAATCATTTAGAAGTGTGACACAGCCACATTCTGGAAAAAACTTATGTGGCTATATTCTTGGTGAACCCCCCCAAAAAATTCACCTCAGACCAAACAAAAAAAAAACTTTGCAGTTGCTACATTGGTGATTCGCTTTCAGCGAAGACAGTATCTGGGGCCTAAGCAAGCTTCCCCAGCTGCCCTAATTTCCCATGTGGCCTAATTTTCCAAATCCCCACTGAAGGTCTGGCTCTACCTATAATCTGAAGCACAGACAGCATGAGGACAAAAGTAGCCTTTGTCAAGCCAGAATTAACAGCCATTGATAGAAATGAGTGCAACTCTAAGTTATTAGAGTTATTAATAACTCCACTCAGAGCACACACAATCAAAAGAGGCCCAGCTCACAGAGGCCCTATTATAGAGCAGGTGACTACTAGCAGTGGAATACGATCAAGAAGCTAAAAGTTAGGTTCCTGGAGCAGAAGTAAGAAGCATTTTCACTTAATAAGTGCCATATAGTCCAGCTAGATGAGGAAACCACTCAATGAGGTTCAAATAAACCCAGTTACCTTAGCTCAAAGGAAGAAAAAAAGTTTTTAATAAAAGATACAGATTTTCAACTGATAAGGCTAAAGAAAGTAAAAGACAATATGATCACAAATCAACATCAGGCAGATTTGGAATAATTCTACTGAAGGTGGTATGTATATCTAAATTATGTTTTCATAATTTCTGAAACTAACTTTAAGATTATTGCTTGGACCTATCCCCCCTCATCCCCCTTTTTGGGTAACAAATGACCAAAGTCACTTTTGCAACTTGCTCTTAAACAAGCTCCACCTGCCTGCCTTTTGCCCGTCTCCCTTCAAAAGTGATCTTATGACAGCTTCCAATCTGTGACAATCTCCTGAGTATCCATTTGAAAATTTTACATCACTTTCAAAATATCTAGTTTTGATATTAGCACTGTCAAGCCAGTGTCATTCTGAATGTCTCAAACTGTAGTCAAGATGCATCATGAAATGGGATTTATGTGTTTAAAACTGTATTAATAGGGCCGGCCTGTGGCTCACTCGGGAGAGTGTGGTGCTGATAACACCAAGGCCACGGGTTCGGATCCCATATAGGGCTGGCCTGTGGCTCACTTGGGAGAGCGTGGTGCTGACAACACCAAGTCAAGGGTTAAGATCCCCTTACCGGTCATCTTTAAAAAAAAAAAAAAAAACTATTAATAGCCTTTCTATACATGTTCAGTCTGCATTGGTAGGCCACTTTCCATCTCTCTTCCACACGACTTGCCAGGCAATTTCTACTTTGTAATGTATTTATGGAATATAATCCAAAT